TATTTATTTTATAAATACTTAAAGAAGAAAAAGGCTATCACACATATACACACATGTGATTGCCTCTTTTTTTTAATGCTTTCTATACACTTTTCCTACCTTTCCTACCCTGAGATAAATGGGGTGGTAGCTCTTTAGTAAAAGAGCTTTTAATTCTGATTTGTGATTGTTTTATTACCTACAAAGTAAAAATTATGACATACTGCTATTATTGCTTAATGGACATCTTCTACCTTTCCAAGGCAGCTTGAGATAACGGTTCTGAACAAATTTTTACTACATCTTCTCTTCTTTATCCCCATCCTTGTTATATTTACCTGGAAGACCTCTTGGTCCAGGGTAACCTTTCGGTCCTCTGCCTGGAAATCCTCTTTCTCCTCTTTCTCCTGGTTCACCTAAAGCAAATCCATGAAATATTAGTTACAGCCTGCTTGGAGTATTAGTTTCGGTAAGTTCCCTCTCAGAGGTGAACAGCTAATAGGCAAAGAATTCAGGTGGCTGTATATATTCTTAGCATCTTTGCATGATGTCCTGACACGTGTCCTTATAAGAGGTTTAGGGTTTGTTTGGGGGGTTTTCCCCCATTTGAGTTACACTCAGAAGCAGCCATGTTGGAGGGGAAAAAAACCAGCCACCTGGGGCTGGATAACAAGTACCACATGAAATATGTCATAGGCTATACAACAGAAATAAACCAAACTCTCAGAACTACACAGGCTATTTTGGGATACAGACTGAGGTTACGGGCAAATGGCTTTTGCAAGACCACGTGAAGTCTGCTAATAAGTAAAAATTCTCAAATGCTGGTCCTTGAGACAGCTAGAGCAAGAGAAGAAAAGAGGAGCTGGCTTGCACACATTAGAGTGTTCTGTTGACATCCACATAAGATGTTCATAAAAGCAAAACAAAGGACTTTTCTTCAAACTCATACGTTGCTCTAAACAAGAAGCATCTTAATAAGGGAACACTTTTTTTGTTGTAAAGTGCAAATTCTGTTCACTGTATATATTCCATAAAAGTACCTATATCTACCACTCATGAACACCCTATGTAAACTCTTGATTTTATTTTTTTTTTGCTGCAAGTCAAAAGTCACAAGTATATGCCTAACAATGTTTGAATGAGCTTTATTTTATACTTCCACACATTCCTGTACTCCAGTGAGGAGAGTTGGGATAGACTGTTAAGTTTGGGGCTTGCCTAGAACTGGCACAGCAGAAAATGAGGAAGCTATGTAACAGAACACAGGAGTCAGTACCAAAGTCCAGGTTTCAATAAAAGAGGCACACAGGGTACCAGAGGAGGAATCTTATCTCTACGCTGCAGACTGCCTAGTCAACAGGAGATTGAGCCTGTCTTTGGAAATGCAGCTACTGGAAGCACCAATGGCAGGTTACCCATGTGTACTGCTGTTTCCAGCTACTGAACACTCTGGAATAGTGTTTACTGCTGGTTACCCCAAACTGCTCCAGCTTCTTATGTCTCATTCTGCCCTCCTTCTCTACCCCAGATTGCTCATTAAAGTCACCATAACCTCCTTCCTTGAGCCAGCTCTTTTTGACTCTGCTGTTGCTGATGCTGTTAAAATCACTGTACCTTTGTATCTTCTGCTCTATCTCATGGTAACACATTCTGGCTTTTCTCTCTCCTCTTCATCATGCCCTTCTAAACTATTCTCAACATCCTCCTCCTTTTCCCTTTTATCATATGTCCTAGGCACCCTTTTCTTCGCACTCCCATCGCAGACAACTCCCCAAACGGATGGGGAAAGTCAGTTCATCTCTGTGGAACTCTGGTAACTACTGGGAACCCAAGGCGAAGCAGAGATTTTTTTTTTCAGGGTGCCTGCCATGTACCATCATGATCGCTTTTGCACATGTGAGCATTCACCACTTGTCTTGTATCTGTAATTGTATTTCAAGGTTTACTGTAAGGTAACTCAGAATTTGATGACAATTATGATAGGAAATAAAACATTTTGCTTGTTTGGGGGTTTTTTAATGCTCTGTAGATTATTTTTTTTTAATATTACCACAGTGCAGCCTGCTGTGTGATGAATCAAATTTAGCATATCAGACCACCTTTGTATCTCCATTTTTCGTTGCTTCTGTGAATACAGGTGACATTACATTAAATGAAAACAGTAACAGAGCTTCAGCAACAATGCTGTTAAGGTTTGCTTTGTTTGTATTCTATTCCTTCTCTCAAAGGTTTTCCCAATTGTCCTTTCAAATAAAACTTGAGACAAAAGTAAATGCTCTAATCCAGCAACAGACCAGCTTTGTGCAGAAATACAATTTTTAAATAAAACCTTCCTTCAAGAAAACAAATTGAAACCACTGCTGAATAGAAACTAATACTTACATAGTGGCCATAAGACTTTGCAGAAAATTCTACTATGTAATTCTTTGGAGGTGTATAAACCCCCTCAGTCAGGAACAAAAGCTATTAACTTAGATCAAAGAGCTTTCTTTTAAAGTGTAAGGTTAGTCAATTTTTTTACGGATTTGTTCTTTCCAAAGGATCAATAGATTGTGGTACACAGTGCAATAATGTTAAATGGCTCAGGTATTATACTCAAATAGAAGAGGCTGATCATTATCAGTCACTTGTAATGCGAGAAACGGGATGGACTTAGAAAAGTAGGCTAGAGATTAGCGAATGAATCTGACTGTTTACATTAGCTTTTGGGACTGCAAGTCCCGCAGAAGTGAGGTCCACAACCAGACTTAGTAGAAGAAAGACAGAATCACTGCTGGAACTTCTCAGCATATGAAAAACACAAACCTCAAAAGTCCATGAAAGGGAAAATTAATATTGGGAATCTGACTCAGCTGCTTACTTCTAGTTCAAGGCAAGTGCCTGTCCTTTCTTACATTGTATAAGTGATTTGATGACAAAAAAATGGATTTATAAACAAGTCTTCCTGAGGCCAGGCCAATGTGCCCTTTAATCACTGGGGCAACTGAGGCAACAGCTGCAGGAAACAGCTAAATCAGGATATTTCTGGACTTTACACATGTACAGTGTACATCCACAACCTGTAATCCAAAGGAAAGAAAGAAAAAGGAAAAAAAATCAACAACTGAAAATTAGTTACAGAATTTCTTACCTTTAGGACCTTTACGACCGATCTCACCAGGGGGACCTTTAAGGCCAGGCAAGCCACGGGGTCCAAGCTGTCCTGGGAAGCCATTTTCACCAGCAGGCCCTGGAGCACCTGGTGGCCCTGGTCGGCCAGGAAGACCTGGAGCACCGAATTCTGGCCTCCTCAGACTGGCTGCCAGCTGAGCTAGTTGTTCTGCAATGAACAGGAGGACAGAATTAAGCAGTATGTGGGCAACTGCTGCCTCTTAAAAGAGCAAACATCTCTCTCTGTTACTACTTCTTCAGCCTTATTAAGATCCATCTTTGAAAGAAGGAACAGCTGAAAAGCATGAAGGAAGTCATCTACATTGGCCTGCAAAGTAAGCGCAGGCCTTCTTTTTTCAGAGGAAAGAAACCACTCAAATTAGTGCTCATCGGCTCAAGTTTGATAAATAACTGAACATTTTATGTTCATCTTTTTTTAAGGTAAATCAGCAGGAGCTTCATTAGGCATAGAATTAACTTGCCATTCCTTGGGTCTAAGTCAGCTATTCCCTTTTCCTTATCCCCCTTTCAGGCCACTGCTCTAACAGCACGACTGCAGACCTCTCTTTGCCCAAAGTTTCTATTCTAGACTTCAAACCCATCTTCCAAGCATGCCTTAGAAATAACTTTCTCTGGGTGCAGCCACACACAACTTAATATGACATTTACTATAAAGTCTGCAAGACTTGGCAAGACTAGTATTTTGTATCCACAACCAAGAAAAATTAAGATTTTTTTACCTGTTTTGCACATAGCTTGTTTGCTGTAATCTACTAGTGTATGAGTACAAACAGCAAAACAAGCTTTCAGTGAAGTGGTGTACTTTTATATATGTAAACACAGCAAGTGATTTCTACACTAAACATATGTATTTCATAAAAACACTCCTGTCTATCACCTGGTTACTATAGTAATAGTGTGGAATCAACAGATATTTCAACGAGGCTGCAAAATATATATAAAATAAGGGACTTCTGTCTCATATTGTGTCCACATTCACATGCAGGAAGATTTTCTGCCAGGTCCTCTGCTTAGGCCGTGCTATTTGTTCTGGATAAGAGTGTGAAAATGTTGGTTGCCTCCACAGCAGTAGCTTATCCTGATTTAAATGCACAAGAAACATCAAATACTTTTCAGCGTATTTACCTTGCATGACTCTCATGCAAACCTGCTTAATGTGCTGATCAGTTGGTTCTTTTCCCTAGGATTAAAAAAATAATAGTTTAAAAAAACAGTTGATATCACAGTACATTTTGTAAGTAAGTGTGCCTGATGTGAAAAATGCTGACCAGTCAATAAAAGGTATTCCAGTCATCCCTGCAAGTGTAACTATACCAGCTAAAGTCAATTTGACTAAGCAAGGTAGATACTATGTGCGCACTACAGCACTAGGGCAGATGTAAGAAAATGGAACTGAAATGAAAGCTGAGGACCCGAGGACCCAACTGTATACAGCCCTAAGATTTCTCTGGTCTACAAATGTGTCTGTTGTGAGGTACAGTGTATTTCAAACTCTACTGTGGCACTTGGGCATGCGTACGCATCTCCTGATGCAAGAAAAGGAGTGGTGTGAGTGACAGCTAAGTGTTCAAAAGATACCAGTTACGTGAAACCAGTACTTACAGCTGGACCTTGGCTGCCAGGCAGACCTGGGGCACCCTGTTCACCCTGCAAACCTCGCGGTCCAGGTGAGCCTCGTGGCCCTTCCGTGCCAGGCAGTCCCCGGCTTCCCTCAGGCCCACGGGAACCAGGATCTCCGGGATTCCCAACCTGACAATGAAAGAGAGGAATTTCAACAGACTGCTACCCTAGTGTTAGACTCAATCTGATATATCAAAACGGTGACAGGAGCTACTCGTAAATGCAAAGCAATGAATGCTGGGATGTAGAGTTGTTGAACAGATTCTTTTTAAATAAGTGGTTGTGTGATTTATAAATTTAAAAAGAGGTCTGTATTCCTCATTTAAAGAGGAGAAGTGGAAAAATAAGATACTCTGTCACATGAGGCAAATCGGCATCCATAGTGACATGCACAAAACATTGGGGTTTTTTTGTCAAGGAACACGTCTCCTACAGTTGGTTTCTACTTCTGCCTTTATGCATGTCACATGCCACTTTTCCAGACGTTAAGTGCTCCTTAAGTTACAAATATTCCAGCTCCCTGCTTGCTCCAAATGCCTTTCATGCCCTTTCGTAGAGAGTACCACAGTATAAGCCTGTATGGTCTAGCCCCAGGCTCCTTGGAAGCACACATTTTTGCTTTGTTTACATCCGTCAGAGCCAAGTCTCACTGCACACAGGTTCTAGTGCCTACACTTGAGTTTGCTGGCACAGGGGAGGGAACATCCTTACACAAACTGATGTTGACAAACTGCCTGAACAGATGCAATGCCAGCTTATTTCACTCAGGGAAGGGGTAGTAGAAAGAGCTATTTTACTGGTATAAGCATCCTGACCCTCTGGGGAATGAAAGGGTTGATTTGACTACAGCAATATGTCCACTTAAGTACATTTAGTAAATAAAGCTATAGCTTCTGCTCCAGTAAATTTTCTAATGGGATTAAATATTATGCAGACACCTATGCCAACAGGCACCACTGAGTTACTTTCAGTACAAGTTATTTTACTACTATTAGTCAATAGTAGTACTAACAAAGAAAAAGAACAATGTGAACCTGCTTTAGCAGGGGAAGTTGAACTAGATGGTCTCCAGAGGTCCTTCCGACCCCTACCATTCTGTGATTCTGTAAAAGCCAAACAAAGCTCCCCCCCAAAAAAAACCCCCAAAACAAGCAGAAAAAAAAAAAAATCCTACATACTTACAGCTTCTGAAATCTACTGAGGGGAAAAAAAAAAGACCACCACCCACTGAAAGAGGTGCTGAACAAATTACTCAGCTGTGGTATCAGCTAAATCCACAAGATGGAGCCATTTCAGTTCAGTGCTGCATCTCACACAGCTAACTGCTGTCCCAGTCAGAAGAAAACCCACGGAATGTGCCTCAGTATTAAGACCACAGCAAAATTCCTTCGTGGACTATACAACCAGGAAGCCATCATTCCTTTCTTGCCCAGCCTGGTGAGTTATCAGGTTCCCTGATGGATTACTCATCCATGTGTATGTACTCACTAGAATGACAAGCACTCCAGGGTCTCATCAAGAGAAGAGGATTTTTAAAATCTAGGGGGATAAAACGACAGATGTCTCCTCTACTCTATCTCTTCCTCATGTCCTTCTTGTAAGATCTTAATCAGCAGTACACACTCTCTAGCTTGCATTTGCTTAGCCTCAGGGTCACACAGACCAGAGAGAACACAGGCATAGCGGGGTTTTTTGTTATGGTCAGATTCAGTTCCCTGTAGGCAGAACTGTTGATACGTTAGTATCATAGCCCAAACTGTCATCTGCTGTAACAATCCCACTCTTCAGTGATCCTGAAATAAAAGAATCTGTTCACCTCTCAAATCCTTTTCCTTATGTGACATACAAGCTTCTGCTCACCTTCCACATCAAAGTTATCATTTTGTTATTTCTTTAAAAAAAAAAAAAAAAGAATCTGGGCCATAAATACTTCTGCTTTCACAGACATCACAGTCCTGCTGCCAGCTTTTTCTCAGTGTAAAGATTACAGGCTGCACACAGCCACTGCACTGAGCCTCCTTTCTACACAACACCTACTGTACAAAGAGTGCATTCATTTCCTTATAAAAAAAAAATTAAAAAAAAAAATTAGTTGGCCAGAAAATTGCTGCTGAATGATGCTTCTCTTTTATGGAGCTTAGAATTCAGAATGTGACTTCCTTTCCAAAGCTAATTCATTTTAATATTAACTGTATTCAAAATTTAAACAGAAGAAATGTGTTGGAACTCATTCAATTTAACTGTGATAAGGAGCTCAGCTCATTATTTGCATTTTCTTTTTTCTCATTTAAATCAGAAAACTATCCATTTGATCTACTAGATCTCCATATTTCTTTAACAGTGTTAGTCATTATACTTACAGCTCCCTTTGCTCCTGGTAATCCCATATCACCCTAACAAAACAAGACAAAAAGACAAACTCTATTAGAAGAGAGCATCTGTTATCATAGACATTTCAAATGCAATAAACTTGAGATTATTTTTTCACTATAAAAAAATTCACCTATTTAGTTATTTTACACAAAATTGCACCTCAAATGAATTACGATTCTTTTAGAAATAAAACTTAAATGTCAGGGTTTTTTTGTAAAATTCCTTTCTCAAAAACATTTCTGTAAGGTGCAAATAAGAAAGCATGTTTATTATAATTGGTTTTGTATTGCTTATCTTAGAATTAGACACATGGCTCTAACTTCTCAAACCACAGTTACAGCACAAGCCAATCTTAGAAAGTAGATTGCTTGGAAACCTTTAGAGGAAGCATTATTTAACCAGGATTTTCTAGTTTGACAGAATTATGGGTATTTTAAGTGTTGTGTTAGCCCTGACAAAACTGCAACAGAAACCAGGCAGGTGTCTACCCAATGTGCCATGAAGAAGCCAAATCCCTAGAAATTCCTGTTCCCAGCAACCTGGCTCCTGGCTTGAACAACCATGAGATCCCTTTATTGCTTGACTGAGAATAGCAGCCCCTATTCAGAAGTT